AAGTTCGGTGAATTCGGCAAGGAATCGGAGCACCTGCAATCGAAATGGAGCTACCTCCTCTTGTGCAATATGCGTCAAATTTGATCATAATCAGTTTTTTTAAAGATTTCCGATAAAGATTCGGCTCTGTATGGAGACTTCCCAGTTCTACCTATATCATCTCAATAAAAGCGAGAGTGGAGGCTAATAGTTCCGCTACCAGACTATGGTGACCCAAAATGGAATAGGGATTTATCAACTTGGCCCTTTTAATAGTTAATGAGTCCTGGAACTGATAAATAGGGTTCTTATTTTGTAGGGGGACGGTCTTCAAAACTTTCTCACTACGATCAAAGCTACGAATCATTCTTCTAATTTATAACCAGGTGATGCTATTTATTATTTAATTACTTAGAATTTTGTACCTGATGTACTGTTATGGACTTACTACTCCTCATATGAGTAATTATGAATTCCAACGCTCACCTCAGTCTGGAAAATGTATGATCCAATCGATCCGGAACCGTCGATAAGGAACACAAGATCGGTCGCCTGCACTGGGCTGAAATCTCTCTTGTAAATTGCAATGGTTCATTCGTCGAATTCTTTCTATTTCTTTCTGTTTTGCTTCCACCTTCGGTTCATTCTCTTTTACTCTACATATAGTGATACACTCACCAGACGGTACTGAGTGTGCAGACTCGTCCCGGTTCAAGATTGGCATTAGACGACACGTCCACATATCCCGAGAAGCATTTACATGTGTAGCCATCCGGCAATTGAACACAGTCCGCATTATCATCACAAGAATTCAGTTTGCGGTCTGAGCACTGGTTGGCAGCTGGAATTGTGGGTTAAATTTGATTCGAAATTAAATTAGGTTCATAAACCAGAAATGCGAAGTGCTGACCCGAATGGACCTTGCCGCGCGCTGTGGTTTAGATCCAGCGCGACGATGGCCATGGCGCCTCCTGACCCGTATTTAAAGGCTACGTGAAAGCGAGGTCAGCGAAGTACCTTCTACCCTTACCTTTTTTTAGTATTCTTTTTAAGTAGCAATTTTGAATAACGTCATGGCAAATAGTTTCACTGACATGCTGAATGTGGGGCAGCATGCCTATAATGTTTGAAGTCAAAAGAGTACGTGATTTTTCAAGATTGGTGATCTAGACCTAGAAATAGCCTGCTGAGTTCCACGAACTGTTCGTCACGGGGTCATCAACCCACTCGGGGAAGCATCGCTACACGCGGATTTGACCACAGCTGCCCGGTGGCCCAATTGCTCTTGCTGTTTGCACAAACTGCCGCGAATTGTCGCGCGCGTCACGAAGCGCTGTGGGATGCGATGACGCGTAAGACGAGTTTCGCGGGATGTTTCGAGGAACAATCAATAACTACAAAAATCGTAAAATGCCCATTTTTGTTGCTATTTTTGTTGCTACCATATTTTATATATATATTATATAGT